ACATATACAATTCTACTAAAAAACAGTGCATGCTGCATTCATGCCACACGTATACTTCCCTGGCCATGGAAGGAAGCTGTTTAGTGTGTTCTCTCCTCTCTTCCTTTCCTTCTCTGTCTCTCTGTCTCTGCTCTCTCTGTCTCTGTCTGTCTGTCTGTCTTTCTCTCTCTTTCTGTGCCAATTCTAGGGCTTGAACTCAAGGCCTGGGTGCTATCCTGAATTTTTTTGCTCAAGGCTAGTAAGCTACCACTTGAGCCACAGCTCCACTTCTCACTTTTTGGTGGTTCATTTGAGATAGAGCCTCACAGGCTTTCCTGCCCGGATTAGCCTCGAACCTCGATCCTCAAGATTGCAAATTCCTGAGTAGCTAGGGCTAGAGCCGTAAATCACTTTTTCAGTTAGCCCAACACCCTCCTGTACTGCCCATTATTGCAATCTTAGAACACATAAGTTTGCAAATGTTAAATGGCAATGATACATTGAAAAATTAGAATATGTAGTTAAATGACTGCCCTGAATATCATATATCTACTGACCAACTGTCAATTTAGGAGATCAATCAATTGCAATTTGACAAAGTACTGCTGATCAGATTTCTGTTGCAAATTAGAAGTTTATAGTTCTGAAGTTCAAGATCTCTATATATAGTTTTTGGCCCATAGATCCATGATGCTAAAAATTGGCTAACATGTATTTAGCTCATATTATCTGTCAGGACCTATTTCTCATTTAAATCTTAGTATTATCATCCCTATTTAGCAAGTGAGAGGGAGGGGGACAAAAGAAACAGAAATAAAGTAATAATTTTTAGGCAACAAAGAAACAAAAAGCAAGTGTCATAGTTGCAAGTATGGGCACCAGGTTTCAGAAGCTACACACTTAACCACCAAGGCAAATGCCTGTCCACTAAGGAGCTCTCCATAATGAGTAAAGTAATTATCAGAGGAGTAAAAGGAAGCTGCTTAAACAGAATTTCAATGAAGAAGAGTGACCTATTGGCCCTATATCAAGATGGATGTAGAGGAACTGTAACAAATAACTGTAGGGGAAAAAGAGTATACTTAGCTTTAAAGCTTCTGAAGACTAAATCTTATTTGCTAAAACTCTAGGGACAGTAAGTAGTACTAAGCTGCTTCTTAGTATCTCTGAAATTAAAAATAAAAAGAGATTTTATAAACAGCACCAGTTATGGTTCTGAACATCAATGTCTCCTAAAAAGGTTCACAAGGCTTGGTTACCACCTATGGTGCTACTGGGAGGCGGTGGCATTTCTCAAAGGAGCATATCTTGGAAGGCAGTTGGTCACTGCAGTGTGCCTGGAAGGGGATATTAGTACCCTGCCTCCTTCCTCTCTGTCATGTGCTTTCTAGCCACCATGATAAGCAGTCTTCTGCTCTGTGCTTCCATCATGGTGTCCAGCTTTGCCATAGGCCCAAAGTCAAAAGGCCAAAAGACCATAAACTAATACCTCTGACATGATGAGCCAAAATAAAGATTTTCTCCTTCAATGTTTATGTTAGGTATCTTTGTAACAAAACTAACATACATCCTATATTCTACCTTTCATGATAAGCAGAATTCACACATAGGTAACTATGGGTATGATGCTTCAGGGCTTGGAATAAAATAGTTGAAATAAAAGGCTAAGTGGAGACTGAGGAAGTTATTAATTTTTTAAGAGAGGAATGGATGGTGGAAGCACGTACAGCTGAGTATCTACAGTAGTATTCTCAAATATGTTAGGATGGGATGGATAGTTACTTTGAAAGCAAGCATACAATAAAGTCTATAGGTCATTAATAACACAGGAAAAGTGAGCAAATGAGTGTTGGAATCTTTAAGATGAATGAAGTTAAAAGAGTACTACAGTAGCTCTTTGTCTGAATGTTGTGGCATCTGCAAGCTGAATAGGAAACTTAGGAAGCCCAAGGCTAGGAAGAAAAAAAATGGCTTAAGTTTCAAAGCTTTTTCTTCTAACTTAACTGGATTTGTGGCCTAAGTCTTGATTTATTTAACCCTTTGCTGTACAGATTCCTTGAATGAATTTTATGACCACAGAGAAACTAAGCTGAGCTCTCTCACAACAGAAATGTCAGACAGTCAACTAATTAAGGCTGGAAGATAGTTGAGTGGACACAAAGATGGGCCATAAATAGAATTTCCTAAAAATTACTCCAATTTTTTTTCATTCTTTTAAAGAAGTCAGAAGAGAAGCTGGGTATCAGTAGGCTCATGCTTGTAACCATAGCTACTCAGGAGGCTGATATCTGAGGATCTAGTTCAAAGCTAGCCTATGTAGACAAATTAGCAAGATTCCTATCTCTGGTTCACAAGCAAAAAGCTGAAACTGGATAGGAAAGTTTTAACTTAAAATGTAACAGTTAAGAAAGTGCAAGAAAAATTTTGAACTGTCATTCCTACTCAGAAGTCTCATTAGTCTCAAAGCAATTACTAGAAATCATTTTCCTATGTCAAGTGGGAAATCCTATATCCACAGCTTTTTATAATATACATGAATATTCCTGTCTCAGTTTATATTTAAGAAGAGTAGCAACAACATTATTCCTTTGTGATATGTCACATTCTTTAGTAACTAAAATATTTTACTTGGACATTAACTCTAATCAAAACAGGTAATTCATTGGTCTCTTCAAGATCACCAACAAACAGTAATGAAGATTTATGTGAGAGTAAAGGAAATATAAAAAAAGGTAGAAAGGGTACAAAATACACATAGAGAAAAGAAAAAAATAGAAAAACAGGGCCATAATAAAATACAATTAAAAAACTTACATTCACTCTAAAGTTTCTAAGTGGGAAGAATAACTGATCTTTGCTAGCAAAGCCTAAGATGAATAAGGAAGATTCATCCTTTAATACCATTTTTTAAGGGTAGAAGAGGACCATCTTTTTTTTCCCCTGCCAGGGTACACAAACTATTGATACAGTGGTGACATTTTCTAATTTCTCCACCACAAAAGACTAAAATGTAAAGCAAGCTATACTTCTATTTCCCAAGTGTGTAAAACTACTAATATTTGAAGTTTGCTGTGACTCTTGCTGAAAACACAGAAGCACAGAAGAGATGAGGCAGAGATCAGTTGTTAAGAAACAAACTGGACTTGGAGCTCATGATTTAATAAGTCTTCTCTAAATACCTCCACTAGTCTTCCACTTCTTAAGGCTCCAACCTTCTCAAAAATCACTTATCCAAACTATTTACTACCTGCTATGTAGTGACTTGCTTTTTTTTTTTTTTTTAAATTCTCTTCCAGTACTTGCAGGACTATCTCAATGATGATACTATTAGCTTTTTAAAGCTAATAATTTAGCAGTGGCCTCTTCAAATTAGGGACATATAAAGGAGGATATATAAATTGCAATTGATTTGATTACAAATTAACAGCATTTTGTGATAATCATAAAACCTGATAGTAAACTAGATTTTGTTTTTAACCACTGATTTAAGTTCAGATATTGTTACAGAGTATTTTGAGGCTTTGCTGGAAGGGCATCAATACTAGATAGAACATTCACAACTCTAGAATTTTTAAAATCTTATAAAGAATCTGAAAGAAAATAAAACGTAAGCCGTGATTATTTGATGGCAGTTTGCAGTTACTTCTGGAATACAGGAAAATTATACCTGTAAGCAGCAGGCAAAGTGGTCCTTTCTCACCTTTCCTGTAGGACTTAGTAACAGTTAATTAGGTGTCTCTTGCTAGTTACTAAATATAATTTTGCAGGTTCTTTTGACCAATGCTACATGTTGTCTTTGATCAATGTTTCAGATGAAAATGAAAAAGAAACAAAGCAGTAAGGAAAACTTCCAAGCAAGTGGTGGTCATACCCAATGTAAGTGCTCTTTTTTTTTTTTTTTGGTCGGTCGTGGGGCTTGAACTTTGGGACTGGGCGCTGTCCCCTCAGCTCTTCAGCTCAAGGTGAGCGCTCTACCATTTGAGCTACAATGCCACTTCTGGTTTTCTGGTGGTTTATTGGAGATAGGAGTCTCACGGTCTCTCTTGCCCGGGCTGGCTTTTGAACCGCGATCCTCAGATCTCAGCCTCCTGAGTAGCTAGGATTACAGGCGTGAGCCACCGGCGCCCGGCTATGTAAGTGCTCTTATACATGGCAAAGACCTGTGTAAATTGGTACAACCCTTTTGAAAGCAATTTATTAAAGTGTTTCTGGAGTTGTTAAATTATTCATGACCTTTGATACAAAATTTTACTCTTAAAAATTAGTGCTAAGGAAATGGCCTTAGAAATTTTAAAAAGGGCTAGATAAAGAAGCCTTCTACAAAATGATCCATACCAGGAAGATTCATTGGAAAGAACACATTCATATGTACAAAAAAATTACCTGTAATGTAGCTACTTGATGAGAATTTTAAGCAAGCATTAAAATAATATGTAAGTACGAAAGAAAAAATAAATGTATTCTCTGAGATGTTAAAATACTATGAGAGTGAGTAAGGTTAATGCGTAGTTTTCTTATACATTTATTTTTTTGTGTGCAAGCCAGGAATTGGTGACTGATGTGTGTAATCTTAGCCATTTAGTAGGATGAGATCTGAGGATCAAATTTTGAAGCCAGCCTGGGCAGAGAGGTCCATGAGACTCTTATCTTTAATTAACCAGCAAAAAGCCAAACAATTTCTAAGGTTTTAAATCCTAAGGACAACATTCAAAACTACATTTTAATTCACTTCATTTCAAATAAACTTTGAATGGAAAGAAAATACTAGTTCAACTTACACAACTTTTCTCTTGGTTTAAAATAAGCAGATCGCTTGAAAGTATAATCGAACCACAGGCATGTAAGTATCACTTTTATCTTATGAGACTTTCTCTATGTTCCAGTTACTTCATTCCCTATTATATGTTGCAAAAGCAGTAATAATTTTTATAGCCAAATATCACTTTATAAGATACCAGGTGGCTTTCAATATTTACCACATAAATCATGCATGAAATTTAAACATTACAAAAATGACTTACCAGTTGATACTCCTGAAATATGCACATTTTCAGAATGTTCTGCAAGAGCACCATTTCCTAAAATTAAACATAATGAATCAACTAATTTCCAAGATAAAATTTGTAAAGAGAAACAACTACACCGAGCTACTTTTAATATTTACAAAATAGTTTTCTTTTTATAATAATCTTAAAACACAATATTAAGGAGCCTTGAACTATAATAGTAGTAGGGGAAAAAACAAACACTTTGGAAATCATAACAATATACTGTAATATAAAGGTCAAATACATAGACCTAATTGACACCAGAAAGAAATTTCTAACAAGGAGTCATCAATAAGGAAGTTCTGGTGCCACTATTGAAGAGAGGAAACCACAGCTCAGTTTAAACAGAATTCCTCTAAGAGTGTCTAGTCAGCACAGGCTAGTGATTACTGTAAGGTCCACAAGTTGGTACTTTTTTTTTTTAAACTCTGTCTTATTTTAACCTTTCTGCACCAATAATTCTAATTGTTTTAAAAGCAGGGGTAGAATTATATCTTGGTTCTCTATACCCTGTTCCCCATGGAAGTACTCGAGTAACTAACAGAAGGCCCAGTATAGAGTTAGGTGAAAAGAAGATTAAGGAATTCTTGTTGTGTTTTGGCCAAGAGTATCTGATGGCACTGATCCAACAGGGACCCAGTGCAATTGCCATTGGACTTCCTTTTTCTTTGATGGCACCATTCTCCATAAGCCCAGAGAGGGGCTTGCCTAAGTCCCTAATAAAAGTAGTGTTTATGTTACCTGTAAAAACATGATTCTAAGTCAGTCCCCTTAAAAGTACTGTGGCTATTTCTCCCTCAAATTAATGTAAACAAGTGGGAAAGTTGCTATGACTCAGAGAGAGTGGAAGAGGAAAGGGGTGACTGATCAAGAAGCACTGGATACATAGATGAACATGTTAAATTGTAATCAACCTTTAAACAGCCATTTGAAAATAAAAAATTAAAATAATATAAACAGTATCTCTTTATTTTCTAAAAAATTGTTACAAATTATTTGTATCTACCCTTGTAACAAATTATTTGTATCTGTCCCTGCTTCTCTAAATTTTATACTTGTTCACTGCTAGCCCAGAAGACAACCCCTTCTTCCCCACCAATTCTAAAACCCTATCAGGCAAAAGACATTCCATCTCTATAGGTATATAGCTGCCACTCGTTGGCACTGGGGACCCTTGGGGAAAATGACCTTTCCTTTAGGAACAAAGATGTCTGATCCAGGGGTAAGGTCCTATGAGTTCTCTTTTTGGAGGTGGCTAAATATTTGAGTACCTTTTTAGTTCTCTTTGGTGGGGGGGGGGGAGGTCACAAAAGAAAATGACACACAGCACTGTGTAACATTTTTCTATAACTAAACTATAATGGCTGCTTCAAAGGCTATTTTCACTAAAATACTTTCATTTTGTAGTAATTTAGTCCAAATTCAAAATTTTTGTAAATGTTCTAAAATGAAATCAGATAAAGGCAAAACCAAAAGGTTAAAACATATCACAAAAAGGTCTGTAAAGATGAAATTTAGAAAAATAACTGGTGTAAGCTAGCTATTATTAAAGGTTATTTAAAAAATTCTCAAGGCCAAAGTTTAATGAACTGATACAAAAATATTATGCCCCAAATCAAGCTTTTTAAAAATAACGATCCTCTATTAGTAACATATGTAGGAAAAAAGTTCAACGGTAAAGTATAACCAATGTAACTGGTAAAAACACAAAGCAGAGAGCTGGATTAGATGTAAAAAGTGACTGTTAAGTGCTATGCCAGCTATTAAGACAATCAGCTTAAAAAAAAAAAACCACTAGATTTTGTTTAGGGGAAAAAAAAGTGGATAAATTCTAGCTGTCTCCAGGAACAACTGTGTAATCTTAACTGGAAGTCATAAAAAATATAGATTCCCAGTCCTATTAGATCTTCTTTAAGTATATGCTTCAGCCTTTCTTAGTATATTGCCATTTTGATATTTTAGTATATATCCAAGTATATTTTCAATTACAAAACTGATTTTTTTTTTTGGGTCCAGTTGTGGGGCCTGAACTCTGGGTCTAGCACTGTCCCTCAGCCTTCAGCTCAAGGCTAGTGCTCTACCACTTGAGCCACAGCGCCACTTCCGGCTTTTTTTTCTTTTTGCTTATGTGGTGCTGAGGAATCGAACTCAGGGCCTCATGCATGCAAGGCAAGTGCTCTACCACTGAGCCACCTTCCCAGCCCACAAAACTGATTTTTTAAATTTATTTTTAATTTTTTTATTGTGAAAATACTGTACAAAGGGGTTACAATTACATGGGCAAGATAATGAGTACATTTCTTATCAAGCATTGTAGCCTCCTCTTTTGTTTCCCCTTCCCATCCCTTCCCATCCTCCCCCTGCCCCCCCACCCAATCCTCCCCGCTTCCCCCTCCCCCCACACCCTCCCCACCTCCCCCACCCCACTTCCCCACTCCCCACCCCCGGCACCAAAGTTGTAAAGTTCGTTTCGACATAAGGACTTGTACATCTCATTGTTGCAATGGGTCCACCTGTATCCCTATTTAAACGATTTGTTTTTCCCCTTCCCCTCCACAAATTATACCGACATCAAATACAGTGAAAGCAGGGTTATACTGTGGGGGAGGGACATACAAAGCAGCAAAGAAATAACCTTATAAATGTGTTAGAAACAATCGCATGAAAGAAAAAAAAACATTTGAATACATATCTTAGGGTTCATTTCCCTAACATCACCTTATCTGACCTTTTCTGCTCGACTCAGACATATACTAGATATTGCAAATAAGGGAAACCATGGGACATATGTTTCTTTGGGCCTGGCTTGCTTCACTTAATAGAATTTTTTCCAAGCCTTAAATTTCTAGCCTATTCCAAGTTTAAGAGTCTCAGACTTCTTTTGCTTAAACAGCCAGAGGTTTGCACTCCAAGATATGCAAATAGCCCTAACAGGACACATTATGGAAGTTAGACCTCTACCTCTGTACAACTCCTAAAGATTAAGGGCACTTGAAGCGTGGGGAATGGCAGTGATGAAGTAGGCTAAATGAAAATTGGGCAAAAAAAGGCAAACTACAAGGTGTCTTGAGGCTGATGCAGGAGAGCATGGGACAAAAGACCCCCCCCCAAAAAAAAGACATCAAAACAAAAGACCACTCAAAAATCAGATGTGTTACATTTGTCCAACAAAGACAATTGCTAAATGTCCTTTGCTTCACTGTTTCATTTAATGATATCTCTGTATGATTAACCTTACAAAATGGCTGTTTTCATGCATCTGGTACAGGGACACACGTAAAAATCTCACAGAAGGGCAGAAAAGGGCATTCCAATTCCAAGAAAAGTCCAACCCATGTCTGGAATTTCCCTCTTTTTCGCCATCTTATCTGATTAGTAGTCTTTCCATTAAAGTTTGATCAAAAGATGAGTTACCCAAACTCCTCAGGGAGGCAACTCTCTCTGTAAGAAAACTTTTCCAAACTTCTAATTTTGTCTTACCTCCGAATTCTTTCTTTGATGGTGACAAGAACCAGAAAAATACTGGGCATAGGTCTTAAGCTGGCATCTCTATTTCTGGGACCTCCCCAGCCTTCCCTACCAGTAGTACAGTACTACGACTGAGCTACAACCTCATCCTCACTGTTCTGTCTTGGACAATGCTCTTTACAGTTTTGTTTCTCTCCATCCATTAGCTGGATCTGGTATCACAAGAGTGAGGAAGCCAACAGGGAAAGAATGTTATGGGGATAAAATGGGCAAAGAAGCTAGGTGGGAGAATCTTAGAAAGCAAAAGAATTTTTCTTTTGCAACGATCACATTTCTATGGTTACTGATTATTGCAAACATTCAGAATGGCATTAAGCTGTAAAAGAGTCTGTGTTTATTTTATGTACCACTGTATGTATAGCTCCCAAAACAGTGTGCATACTGGAATAGCTGCTGGATGAACAAAATGAGGGATGGCATGTAAGCTAAGCGAAATTATGCCCATTAGCACTTGATACAGTACCTGACACTGAATAAGTACACAGCATTGAACAAGCATTCATTTTTTTTAGCTATGCAAACTATTATTACTACTAAAGAATAAACCAATAGTGACAAAATCACGTTTTTATTCAACTCCACCTAAATCCTTCAAAATAAATTGTTTCCCTCAATTAAGCACGATATAGTAGACCAGGTGAAATAGGTTTGTCAGTCATATCAAATATATAAACAAACATGATTACAGTTATTTTATGAAATGTGTGTCAACACCATGTAAGACACAACTTCTTTTTCCCAGCAATGTTCAATCTTACATTCATAGAACTGTAACTATTAAAAAGAACTATCCCGGGGCTGGGAAGGTGGCTCAGTGGTAGAACGCTTGCCTTGCATGCATGAGGCCCTGAGTTCGATTCCCCAGTACCACATAAACAAACAGAAAAAAAAGCCGGAAGTGGTGCTGTGGCTCAAAAGGTAGAGCGCTAGCCTTGAGCTGAAGAGGTGAGGGACAGCACCCAGGCCCCACGACCGGACCCCCCCAAAAAATAAATAAATACAACTATCCCATTTCTTTATCATGTACAAGTTATATACAATGGCTGCAGAAACAAAATAAGAAACTGATTAAATAAAACACCTAATAAAGTTTGCCAAAGATCAGGAAAAATTGCCTAAATCCTTGCTACTCATGAACTCAAGAACAGTATTGAAATCTTTGGGAACTTAATAGAAATATAAGGTCTCCACTTCAGGTTATTGAGTCAATTTACATTTTAACAAGACTCTTTCTCAAGCCTAGCCATCTGTATACACATTAAAGTTTGAGAGGCACTGGTAAGGTTTTGGCTTAAGTCATCTACTGTATTTTACACAACTACAAACCTTGTGGTTTATAATACTAAAGTTTCCCATATACTTACAAGAGGCACATAAAACAATCAGTTTTAATACTGGATGTAGTTTATATATTAGACATTTGTTTTTTCCAATTCAGGAAATAAAGGCTGGCAGAAGGAAAAAAAGTAAAGTAGCATAAGGTACTATTTAAGATTTGTGGA